ACATAATGGTGTGGAGGGGATGGCTATGGGGGGAGAAGGGAGGCCATCCTATTAAAAAAAAAAAAAAGCTCATCGAAGACATGTGGACAGGAGGCTTTGTTGTACATCTGTGACCACAAAGCAGCACAACTGAACCAGTGGTGCAGCAGGAGGAGATGGTGCAGGATTTCCTCCTGCTGAAGCACTGCTTGTTGGATTTGGAAATCTATCATTCAGAAACTCTTACAAACTTCTGAACACTTCGACTGGAGAAAAAATTTCTGATTTTAAAAAACTTTGGATGAAGTGGTGCTTGTTGTTCTAGTCTCCAGTGTATGTACTGGTCTTCAGAACATCAAGACAGCCATGAGGTCGTCTGAGGCAAAACTGCAAAACCTCACGACAAAAGCCACATTCTATTCAATGTTTAGTCATTATTTAAATAATAAAGTGACGGGTAAAAATCAATTACGAAAAATTTTTGGACTGTGTCAGTCAAAATGATGGACAGCAAAAGCATCTAGCACGACCTATGGTCCAGGAACCAACTTTTCAAATAGCGCCCCCACTTGAAATATGGGGTCTATTGTAAAACCATTTGGTAGCACAGTGTAGATCTGCAACATCTATATTCCTACCAAATTTCATGCTGTTAGGTGCAGCCATTTCTGTGCTATGGTTGACTGAAAAAAATTCACAGTAAAAAAAACTATGACCCCTACTTTGAATAGTGGAGGTCATAATTACATCCATGACCTGTGTAGATAGTTCCTTCATCTTCACGCTGTCTCTTGCTTTGTGGGAACTGTTTATACTTCGAGTTGAGCTGATGTTTGTTATGTCTGTGTGAGATCGTCTGACACTGATGCACAGATCTGAATTAAACCAAGTGGCTTCTTCTGACTCATTTCCTTCTTTTTCAGAGGGGCAACTTTGACAAATGTTGCCCTGCAGCTGTGAAATTACTATCGGACATTAGAAAAGGGATAGATTTGCCGTACAACGAAACAAAGTTTTGACATTTAAATTTTTTTTAAAAAGTTTCATTCATGCTCCAATGGGAACGTCTTCTGACTTATGTAAGTAACTAAAAGTATTTATATGTGAAATAAAAGAAAAAGCAAAAATAATTTAGAACCTCATTTTATTTTCAGTTTACACAACATTAGAAGTATAAATATCTGTTATTATACAACATCTATGACATCCATAGAGCTTTTCTTGGGAAAATACAAAACTCAAAACACTTTTATTGCACATATTCTAAAAGACAAATCAATGTCAACAAGTTCAACTAATACTAGTTCTGCACAAAAACCAAAAGTTGAGACAAGCAGACAGAATCATATGAAAAACACTGAATACTGCACAAACAAATATCCTGACAAAAAGGGGGCGAAGTCTCACATGACTATAAGCAACATCATCTGAGACACAGAACAAAGTTTTGGCATATTGACAATATACAAAATATACATCCATGATGCTTTGTAAACAAACACTGAATGTGCTTTAATTCTCTTTAAATGCAGAAAACAAAAATATGAAGAAGAGGCTTCTTTTAGATGAGGACATGTTGGATCTACTTTCAGCTCTGGGTTTCTTCCTCCCTCAGCCTTCAGGATGAATATTGGCAAACATTAAGGTGCATTTGTTCTCTACAATACATTAAATGTTTCTAACGTGGGTAAAGACAGATTCTTTTTCATTTTAAAATCTCTGTGGAGTTAATTATTAATCTTACGGTATACAGTGTGGAACACAGATATACTCTAATAAGTTAAAATATTTTTTGTATAGAAGAGAAACTGATGCTTTTTAATACAGCCTGAAAACAGATGAAATACAACCAACACTAGTCTAAGATTTCATGAAAGTTTGAAGTTTCAAGGCATGTCTAAGTGCAGAAGTGTTGGAGTGAGAGGCTGAAAGTGACTGAGGGGACATGGCAGCCAACAGGACTCGTACCGAGCAGGAACTCTGCAAAAACTGACGACTCCTCAGAAGATCTTTGCCCGAGTGAAGTTCAGGCTGCTTGTGCAACACCCCAACACACAACTGAACAGTGAAACACCTGAAAACTTTGCGTGACCTCAAACCAACCAGAAGACGCTCAAACAAAAATCTACTGCACATTTGCAAAAGTGCTTGTTCATTTTCATTTAGCTAATATTTCCCAACTCCTGCTGCATTTACAACATGCCATCAACTAGAAAAGCATTCCTGAAAACACTGAAAACCCTCACAGTTTTTTTATATATATATTTGATGCTACATTTGAAAGAAAAAGCCCATTTTACCACTTGTTTTTTCTCTCTTCAAGTCAGTTTTGGAACATGTGCAAACACATTAGAGCGAAGAGGAAAGCTTTGATGAGACACATTGCAGTAGCTTACTAGAGACCATCAAGCAGACACTGCAAAATCTTTACATATAATACAATCAATCATTTAAGCCCATGTTTCCCGGTTTTACAGTGTTATATTTACACCATATTGCATATAAATCAAACACATATCTACAGATGTCAAAGGAATGTGAATAAAGACCACATCCAGCTAAAAGAGCAAGATGTTCTAAATCCCATTTTTCTAAGGCCCCTTCACTAATTTCAGATTTCTATCATTGGAACATTACTCAGTTTGAAGTACAGGCGAAGCAGAAAGGAGGTGGTGCCTTCCCTCTGTGTAACACTGCACAAATAATCAGATCCTACCAGGCAGAAAACTGTCCAAAACAAAATGCTAACCAGAATAAAATCATGTGATCTACTGCATTAAAAGACCTCGGCGTCGGTTGCTCCGAGTCTCCAATTAAAAGTGCAATTCTAATTCTTTTATGGCACTGACTCTTCAGGACATCACAGCCTGTCGACCCGGACACAATGATTGCACAAAGCGTTTGAAGAACAGAAACTTCTAAACATTCACTTGACTTGAGTAAAAACACTGACATTAGGGGGGGGGGGGAAATCAGCAAATGATTTCCTGCGTTAAAACACACACACACGTTGTCGATCAAACGTCAGCAGGTAACAGTTTGTCCGGTCCTTAAACAAAAAATAAAGAAGGCATGATGATGTTCGCACAAAACTGTCCATCTAACCAAGTTTTAAAATCTTATATCCAGTAAAAAAGTCTTTTTCATCTTGTTTTCAGACTGATTTACTAAACAAGAACTGATTGTGTAAGAATAATCATCTTGTTTTCAGAATGTGTAAGATTATTTGTCTTGTTAGTCTGAAAATTTGACTCAAATTAAGTCAAAAATTTCTGCCAGTGGAGTAAGAACATTTTACTTGGTAAGATTCTTGAAATACTTGATTTGACTCATTTTTTTCTTATTTCAAGAATCTTACCAAGTAAAGTTTTCTTACTCCATTGGCAGAAAATGCTCACTTAATTTGAGTCAAATTTTCAGACTAACAAGACAAATAATCTTACACATTCTGAAAACAAGATGATTATTCTTACACAATCAGGTCTTGTTTAGTAAATCAGTCTGAAAACAAGATGACAAAGACTTTTTGACTGATACAAGGTTTTAAAACTTGATTAGATGGTCAACATTTTGTTTGGATGCTGTGAAGTGACTGTTTTCACTTGTTACAGGAGCTTCGTGGCGACTGCTTACAGCTGCTGCTGTCTTTATCTGATGTGTGTTTAGAGGCGGAGGGAGAAGCTCTGGATGGATCTTTTTTGATCATTTTCAGTGCAGACTCTTGAACCATGTCCTTTTTCTTCTTCTCAGCCTGCTCCTTCTTGTTGGATGATGGCTGCTTGTCGGGAGGAGGGATGTGGGTCTCTGGGACCTTGTGACTGTCTGCTTTCAGCAGGTTCTTGGATGCCTTGTCTTCAGTCTCACAGCTGCAGAACTTGCCTGAAGCTGCTCCACTGCTGGGGGTGTGTGTGTCTTTCTTCACTGCAGGTTTCAGCGGCACCAGAGGTGGATCTGGTGAAGGGGAAACATTTGATGGTTGCTCCTTCCTGAGCTGCTGAAGCAGAGGAGCAGAAAGAAGCAAGACGTCTTTTGGTTTTGCATCAAAGTGATTGTGTTTTTTGGGTGAGGGATCTTTAGCTTTGACATCCAGACTTTGTTTGGGTGCAGCTGTGAGCGTTTTAGAAAGGAGACTTTTTGATTTTGAGTCTGCAGCGTCTTTTATTGTTGCAGAAGCTTTGGACTGAGGAGCTCTTTGCTTTACATCAGCACCAACTGTTGACGTCAGCTGAACGCTCTCTGTAACTCCTCCTCCAGAGGACAACAAGACGTGTGTGTGTTTAGGATCAGGAGTTGGATGAAGGGTAGAAGTTAGGGCTGCAGATACTTTGGAGTTTGGACTCCATTTAATCACCGGGTCAGGAGGTGTGCTGCTGTCAGATTTCACCTCTTTCACAGATGCGGGTGCTGCAGGTTCTGGATCAAGTCTGGACTTATCTGCAGGTGCTGAAGCTGAAGCTTTTCCTTGTGCAGACACAACAGTGTTTTCCTTCTTACATCCAGACTCTGATGATTTGTGAAGCGTTTTCTCACTTTGGAAATCTTTTAGTGCTGCTTCTGTGGTTTTTGATAAAACACTAACTTCTTTTTTCTGCCATTTGTCCTTTGCTGTACGAGCAGACACAGTGTCAGAGTTTGTCACATTCACTTTGTCTTTTGCAGTGACACTCAGTGAGCTGCTCAGGTCTCCTGCACAAACCTCTTGGTTTTGCTGCATCTCGGTGCCACCTGGGTGGATTTTGGAGGCTGAGCTGCCGGTTTCTTCAGCCACCTTCACAGCTGAAATGTTTGATTCACTAATAGATGTTTCACAGCCAACTTTAGATTTTAAACTAGTGGATTTATTTCCACATTCAGGTCTAAATGCTGTTGTTGTGGCAGAAAGCGGCATGTGTGTGTTTGAGTAGATGTTTAGTGGTTTCAGTTTAGATGGCTGATCTTGTGGAGCAGAAACTTTCTGCTCGCTCACCTCAGAAACGGAGGTCGTGTTTGAGTTCTGCCCAGCAGCTTTGCTTTGACCACAGCTCTCATGCTGACCTGTATCCAGAGAGTTTGAGCTGAGCCTCAGGGGGCCGGGCACTGCCCCACCTGCAGCAGCTTCAGCCGCCTCCTCTGGGTTTTTACGTTGGACCTCTAGTTGGGCTGAAATCAGAGCAGTTTTGTTGCCGTTTGGTGTGACCTCCTGCTGCTCCACTTCATCCTCCTGATCTTCGTTGCTCACCTCCCGTATGGAGGGAGTTTTCCCAGCAGAGGAGAACTGGGAGCTGTGTCGATGAGCCAAAGAGGACGAGGCTTTCACAGCAGGCCGGCCCTCCTGTTTCACAGTGAAGGTCTCCACTGACGACTTCAATGGTTCTCTGTGTTTTTCTTGGCTCTTCTCACCATCTTTACTCATTTTTATTTCTACAGCTGTGTTTGTTGATTGGTCTTTGGGACAAAAAGCTTCAGAACTTGGTGAACAAGTTGTAAATGTTTTTATCTTGTCAGACGACTTCAGGTGAGGGATGGTGATCTGTTTTTCAGTTGGACTTTTGAGCCAGATTGGTGGACTCACAGAGACCGTCTCACTTGTGTTGTCAGTCATCTTAGACAAACAGGTTTCTGTTTTGGAGACTCTTGGTCCTGAGAGGAAACCGATGTCCAGGGTACCCTCCAGAGGTTTGAGAGAAGAAACATGGCGGCCCTCCAGTTTGTACTCAGAGGATGTTTTTCTCAGAGGAGCCTCAGCGGAGATGAGCTGGAGTTTCTCCACAGCACTCTCTCCTCTGCCCGAGAACAGTTTTGGGGGCAGGCCTTCAGGGCTTCCCTTCATGTGGTCGTGAGACATGACTGTGTCCAGCTGGAGACTCTTGGACCTCATGGAGCCAAAGTGGAGGTTGTCATGGAGGCCAGACGACAGGCGACACATGCAGTCTTCTCTTTCTTCAAATGACAGCCTCTTCCTGGTGAACTCGATGTTTGGAGCTTTAAAGTCCAGTCTGTCCGGCTTCATGTTGTCTTTAGCCAGTCGAGGGTGCTGCCAGTCCGTGTGAGAGGAGCTGGAAGCTGTTCGGGAGCTTCCTTCACTCTCACAGCTGCCTGAAGATGCTTCACTGTTGGCTTCAGAGACTCGAGTGGACAGTTTTTTGTACAGAACATCTTTCAGGGTTGTGCTAGCAGCTTTGCTCTCTAGAGAACTCGACTCTGGACTGTTGTGGGTTTTGTTTTGGACTGGAAACAGAAAACTGTCGTCCCTGTCATCAGCACACACAGGCAGTGAGTCCGAATCATGCAGGGCGTCTTGCTTCTGCAGAGACTCCCTCCTCTCTGTCCAGTCTTGTCTCCTCACAACCACCTTAAATTTCAGCTTCTCTTTATCGAGCTCGTCCACAGACTCCTGCCGGCCCACCTTACGACCAGCAGGCCTCTTCAAACAGCCCTGCTCCACAGGTCGGACCCGGTGGATGGCCAGAGGCTCGCTGCTAGCTTCATCCACGCTCTGCAGTCCGGCGTGATCCCGCTCTCCACTCGTCAGCTCCTCATCCTGCACCTCCTCTTGAGTTACCTCCAAGCTGTGTTTTCTTGGACACAGATGCTTCTTGTCTCCTGTGTAGGATGAGGACAGCTTCTCTTCAGACTGGACACGCGTAAGGAGGGGCGAGCGAGGCGGCTCGGCACTTTTGGGACAAACTATGTGCCGCACAATTGTGGGAGGGGAGTGTATCTTGGCTGGGAAAGGGGGGGCCGTCTTGGAAATCGGTACAGAACTGAGAAGGGGAGGAGGCGAGCGCTGAGGAGATGTCGGCTGTGGGGTGGGTGAAGGTGTACGCGCTAACGGAGACAGGGGAATGCTGCCGGCAGACTTGCGACGACCCTGTCGAAGCCTCTGAGCCGGCAGCTTGGGGCCGAGGCCGTGCAGAGTGCTGGGACGGATGTGGCCTGAACCTGCCGGGGAGTTTGGTGCGCTGGAGCTGGGAGAGCTGCTTTGAGACGAATTACCACCTGGAAATCACGAGCACAAAACGAAATGGATTTCAGTCAATTAAAAGGATTCAACAGTGAAAGGGTTCTGAGTTAACAGATAGACTTTTTTTTTTCCACCTGACACGGTGAAATCTGGTGCTGTTCGCAGGGCAGCAGTGGGGGAACGAGGGGAGAGACTGTGGGTGGGGGAGCCGGGGAGACTCTCACCAGATGACAGGGAGTGATTGAGGGAGGTGAAACTGCGACTGGTGTGCAGCAAGGGAGAGGGCTGCATGGCAAAACGTCTGAAAAGGGAACGCCGCCTGCACAAACAACGAGAGAGAGAAAAAAACAGAATAGAATTTTTATTATTTTGTTTTTATGGAAAAAGATTTTTAAACATTGCAATAGTGTAAATGTAAGTTGTTTTAAAGAGAAATGAACCACTCTTCTAAAACACTACCTCGGTGTTACCAGTCTGCCTCCTAGAGGCCAGCAGGAGACTTGCAGACATTTCTGCTAAAATAATAAGTGGGTGAATAAGGGCCAGAAAATCTTCCCTTTGGTCATTTGAAGCATTTAGTCAATGGAGATAAAACTTAGCTTTTAAAATTAAGCTTTGTTACTTCTTGTGAATGCAGAAAAGAGCTGTTAAACTGTTTTGTTTCAATTTGCTCAGTTAACTAATTGATTTAAAGGATTACCATATTTATTCATGTATAATACCCCCCCCTTGTTTTGAACTTAAAAAGCATAAAAATTTTCATCCTCAAACTACCTCCAATTTCATACAGACTTTGCAGTCTTTATACATATCAGTAAAATGATCATTTTATTTTAACAACATATGTACTAAACTGTATTTTGACAACAAATATATATCAGCTGTAGCAGCATCATATGAATTCTGGCATTTTACACATAGTCCACCAGGAGGCGCCAACACAAAAGTCAGAGACTTCACATGAGATTTGGGCCATCTTGTGGGGGAAAAGCAGATTACTTCCTACTCGCGAGCGCCCCCTCTGGTGGGGAAACTTTTTTTCAGGGATACAAACTTTTTCAGAACACCGGTAGACGGCAGCCATTACAGACGAACATGTGTTTGTTGTTGTTTGAGGAGCAGCCAGGTCACACGCTAATGTCATTAGTTTGTTATCATTACTAAGATGCAGGACTACTCCCCCCCCCTTTTTTCACATCATGTCTCCTGCCTGGATCTGTTATTATCTCGCTCTGAAGCACAGAGGAGTGTCAGAGGTAAGCTCGCTTCAACTGCTTTTTACGATGCGGTCTCATTTCTGGACTCAGGCATTTTGCCGATATTTCAGTTAAAATACATAAGTAAAAATATTTATCCGAGTATAATACTACCCCTCAATGTTATGAATGATTTTATGGGTTAAATTTTACGTATTATACTTGAATAAATACGCTAAGCAGTTTGAAGATGAAACTTTTAAAGGATCTGATCAAACTTCTTAAATGTCAAAATCAATGCTTCACCACAACCAACCTACAGTCTGAAAGGACGTTTTTCCCATGTTTTTATGATCTCATTATTTTTTTCTACTAAATGAGAAAACAAAAAGAGGTTAGGAAGACAAAGTACTCTCTAACTACAGTGGATATAAAAGGTCTATACATCTGTGTTAAATTCTTGGGTTTTGTGATGTAAAAAAATGGGACTGAGATAAATTATTTCAGAACTTTTTTCACCTCCAATGTGAGCTATAACCTGTACAACTTCATTGAAAAGTGTGCACACCCTTAAACTAACACTTAGTTGAAGCACCTTTAGACTTTATTACAACAGTCTTTTTGGGCAGGAGTCTTCCAGCATGGCACTTCTTGATTTGGCAAGACTTGCCCACACTTCTTTGCAGAAATGCTCCAAATTTGTCAGATTGCGAGGGCATCTCTTGTGCACAGCTGACCTCAGATTAACCCACAAGTTTTCACTGGGCAAAATCTCCACCAGATCCAGACCTCACTGGGGCCAAGGCTCTACTAAGCCCAGTCACCACCAGGCCCATAATTTGTTACTATTTGGTACCTCCAAACTGGGGAGATGCCACCGAAAAATAAGGAAAAAATTGAGGAGATAAAGAAAGTGTTGGACTTTATGGCAGAAGATGTCTACTGTCTTGAGGCAGCAGAAAATGATTATGGACATGATGGAGGTAATCCAAGACTTGAAAAGACGAAATGACAAGAAAGAAAAGGAAATCACTCATCTGGAATATATAGCAAAAAATTAAATTTAATGGTGTGTTCCTTGGGCCTGTACCCACATGTGATAAAAAGTCATGACAATCCGTCCACAAGTTTTTGAGTAATTGTGTCCACAGACCGACAGACAGACATACGCGACCGAAAACATTTCCTCGCCCCTTGGCGGAGGTAAAAAACAAGCAACGTGGACAGCTAATTGTAAACTTTTTATAATGCCAGAGGTAGCTAAGGTGCTAATGATAAAGTGTTTTATTACTAAAAATAACTTCATTTGAATTAATTTCATGATTATTCCTGGGCTAAACAAAACAGATTGGCTCTTAACTGATAAACTGATTCAGGGAGAACTAACAACACAAACCTTTTAGTCATTTTATTTAATATTTACTTATTATTTTATATAATTGAAAGACATATTAAATAAATTTAATTTCTACTTGGATTTAGTAACTTCCAAATTTTGCGTCTGGTATATAAACATTAACAGAAAGAGAAAGAGCAGAAACAACATTCTGTCTTATCCTGATTACAGTACATGTAACTAATGATTTTGTTGATTCAAGAAATAAAACTAAAAGATGACATGAAAATAATATGTATGGAGTTTGTACCTTTCTGGGGTCTTCTCCTTTTTGGACTTTTTGCCACATCTCACCATCTTGCTCCTGTAGCTGTTCTTCCGGGCTGGACCAGTTTTTATTGACGTGTTTTCAAAGGGAGTAGTAGAAATGGCCACTTTGTTACCACTCTGAAATAAAAGAAAACATTAACATGTTAAAACTGTTAACAGGTGAACTTATTTTACAATCAATCCTTTATAGTCACTATGATTTGTAGTAATCCAGTTGAGGCCAGGCTTTTAGAACAAATGTAGTTAAACCATTTGTGGTGCAACGTTTTGTTGCACATCAATAACTTTGTAGTTGCAACACAACTAGATTGTTTTTTCATTTTATTGAAGCTGAGCCAAAACTAATTTATGAAGTAACATTGTCATTTACCACAGGGTTAGACAAATCCTATTGCCCGACTGCCCGGGGCAGGTAAACTCATATATTCGGGCAGGTGGGTGTGTCCCGATGCCTGCCTGACTGGGCAGGTAAACAATTTCTTTTTTTTTTTTATAGGGCCATTTATTCAAAATATTATGAAAATAAATGAAGAAATATAGCGTTTTAAAACGCATATAAAGAATGAATCCTCAAAAATTCCCCCTCTCGCTGTAGAAAAGTTACTTCTTGCCGTCGTGTCGCGGGATCATTTCCTCCCTCCCTCCTGCTGCACATCGTGCAGAGCGAAGCTTTAACAACCGCAGTTTTTCACACCAAGTTGTCAGAGAAAAAACTTGTTTTTATGTGTTGTTACCCACAGAGATGATAAAAAGATGTGGACGTTCGTTCAGTCATAAATCCATCTGGCTAATGTTGGCTTGTGCTCTGAGAGCGCAGAGCAGCAGAGGGTCAGTTCAACACGCTCGCTGTATGGCAGGCCGATRTTGCATTTATTTGGCTTCACCACKCTTACATTCCAGATATCTGAAATTGTTTTATGACTARATWAGACAKATTARTTATTTAGGATAAAATAATAAAATGTTTTCTTTTATTATTTTGTTTTGTTTTATTTACTTATTTTTTAAACTTGGAGATCTTTCCAGCTTGAGCTTGTTTGTTTGTTGGGTTGATTTTTGAAAATAAGGGACACATATGATAGAGTTTTTTCTTCACTCTGCACCTTTTTAACTCAGGCTAGGACTTACTTTTTTTTAGTAGTGTACATAGATCGCTTTGTTTTTATAAATGAATGAAACAAATAGACATCTTAATATATTTTGACAATTCAAAATATCCATTTAAGATATCTCTAATTATATTCTGACTATAGTATAAATAACATCATATTTATCATTAAGTTGAAAAAGGTTTTTTGAAGATGTTTTTGATAAAAACAATTGACTGACTGTTAGTGACTCAGTCTGCAATGTTTGCATCTGCTGAATCAGAAGTTATGTATATTATGTACCTCTGTGTATAACCATGTTAATATTTTTGTAGTACAAATACAGTACACATTTTTCTTATATTTTATAAAGTTTTGAACATTTTTGTTTCGGGCAGGTAACTTTTCATGTTGGGCAGGTGACATTTTTTGTCACCTGCCCGACAGGCCAGGTAAAGAAGAAAAATCTTGATGAACCCTGATTTACCATAAAATAACTTTAAAAGAGCTGCTATTTAAAGACAAAGATATTTTCAAAATTACCTTCAGAAGGAGCTCCACCACTTCAGTGTGAACGAGACCATGAACTGATTCTCCGTTCACGTGAGTAATCAGGTCTCCAGCTTTGAGTCCTGCTTTGTGTGCCGGCCCACCATCTTCCACATTCTGATTAACAAACACAAATCATAAAGGACAAGATCAGCTCTGAAAAGCTTTAAACTGTTTTCACAAGCTGAGCCAGGAAAACAAAAAACTTTTCTATTGCTGTCTTTTTTATTTTTTATTCTTATTTCCATTTATAAATTGCAGTACTTTTAAACAAGTAGAAGAAATGTGGAAAATGGCGGTCCTAATTCAACTCAGAGGAAATATTATTGAAAAGCACAAATCAACATCCAAGAGTTCAGATAAATCTAACAAGAAATGGAAGAAATTTGAGACGTGTGTAAATCTATCAGGAGAAGGTCGTCCACACAAACTATGGGGAGAGAGAGAGAAAGAGAGAGAGAGAGAGAGAGAAAGAGAGAGAGAGAGAGAGAGAGAGAGAGAAAGAGAGAGAGAGAGAGAGAGAGAGAGAGAAAGAGAGAGATAGAGAGAGATAGAGAGAGAGAGAGAGACAGAGACAGAGAGAGATAGAGAGAGATAGAGAGAGCGAGAAAGAGCGAGAGAGAGAGAGAGACAGAGAGAGAGATAGAGAGAGCGAGAAAGAGAGAGAGAGAGACAGAGAGAGAGAGAGAGAGAGATAGATAGAGAGATAGAGAGAGATAGATAGAGAGATAGAGAGAGATAGAGAGAGATTTTTGATTTTTTAAAAACTCATTTATTCACTCAATAGTGATCCAAAGACATATTCAACACAGCTTCAAATTAACACATCCATAAATGAAAGTTCAGAATTATTTACATTAAACAAAACACCTTCATAGTTCCAAATATTATGAAAAGTATTTAGTTCATCCATTTTTAGATAATATTTAAATTCTAACATAACTCTTGCCCT